AGAGAGAGAGAGAGAGAGAGAGAGAGAGAAGAAATATTCGTTTTTGCGCCATTTTCACGCCGGGCCGCGATCGTATCGCCCGACGCGAATTTATAATTACATCGGAATCGATGGGGAACGATGGCTTTGCGCCAGCCAATTCAATTGTCACGGCGACGCTTCGCGCGAACTAATTTCTAGGGCCTCGTTATTAACGCGGGGCTATCGGTTAAATGAAATTTCGATTTCGAGCGAGAGAGCGAGGCGTTTACGTTTCCGCGAAACGCCTCACTAAATCCACCGTTTTCGCTAAATATCACGCACTTTTACTCACACGTTCCCGTGAGATTTTCTTCCTTCGCGCGCGAAGGCAGCGAGGAAGGAGGCCGCCTATGCAAAGTCGGCAGGAATTGGCGCGCACCCCCTGAACGCTTAATGAATGAAGAGAAAGCGACGTGTTTTTTGCATTACAAATTTCCCGCCAGGCTTTTACTATTTTACATAACGCGATTTATTTGTTCGCTTTTTATTTATGCGCGAAACTACTGGTCGCGAGAGGGTGCCCGTTGTAACGCCGAGCGTTACGTTACCACTTTTCGTACCAATTTTCATTATTCGCTTTGTTTATTCCCCTATTATACCCTCGTTACGGATACTTGCGAAAGGTTTTAACAGCACCATGGGCAATATCATTATAACTGTATCTAAATTTATGTTGCAATTTCATAATCCGGTAGCCTCGGCAGTTACGTCAAACATTTGCGGCAATAAAGTGTTAGCGATTTATTACGTTACCCTCATGAATATTAACGTTTACTAACGACTTTGTAATATCCCCGATACCCGCCCGCGAAATTCTATCGAGTCTTTCTCGTAACACGTCGTTAAACTCGTCGTCACTCGTGGCAAAACGCGTCTTGGAAAATCAGGATTAGATATACGCGAGCGATACGACATTACGAATATTATATTCCAACGATTCCGTGCACATTTTATATGCCTTACGCGAAAACGCGTGTCTGTATATCATCGCGAATGCTCGTAAAAAGAGAAATTCTCCCTTCTTCATGGATTTCGCTACTACCGCGATTTAAAAATGAGAAAACAGCACGGAAACGATCCGAGAGATTATGATAGATGCACGACGCTTTCTATATCCTTCCTTTCTCTGCGCGATACGTTACACTTTTCTTGCGCTCATGTTTAAATAGTTAATTCGCCTTGATACGAGATGAAGTATGGGCCGCCCTACTTATATCTCGGATGTTGATAAATGCCATTTTTTTGTAGAGTTGATTCTATATCCCACACAAAGTAGCATTTTTAAATGGAGATTTTCGTTTCAAATACAGAAATTTTAAATGTTTAAAAGCGGAACTTTTTATTTTCCCTAATGCAACGCATTTAAGTAAATTTTTATAATATTGTTAATAAATTGATCTTTTTTTGTTATAGAATTCCCGTAAATGATCCCATAGATCTGCCACGATGTCGTCGACATTATTATTAAATTGTAAGTTTATTTCTTGAGTTAAAGACCATCAGATTTTTTTTATTACTTTACATTTATTACATTTACACGAACTATTTTAATTTCTATTTATATTATTATAAAAATAATAGAATGATATTTCTATTATTTTTATTTCGATTACTCAAATAATATAGGTGTTCTGGCGTGGCTGTTCGTCATCATAGGGGCGATTACCGTATCGATAGATCGGGCTGACATTAAAATTGTAAGTATGAGTTATATGAAAAGCTTTACTTACTTTTCATTGCATAGTATTACCATTATTTATTGTTAATTATTATTAATTAATTATATTTCTTTTAACATAAATATTTAATAACCGAGACACTTAAATATAAGAATATGAGAAACGCTAACGTTCTTTAAAATCTTTCCGTGAACCATAAAATTGCTTTTATATTACTGACAATTAAATCCACATAGACAATCTGTAGGTCTCTCGTGCAATTAATATCTTTTCGGCACAATTTTATTATTGCATAATATGGTCATGCACACTCTCCATTTTGATTTCGCTGGCGTTTTACGCGATTTGACAGCCGGAAGTACCTAAGGATTTTAATTTACTTGCTTTGGAGACGCAATAACTTGGGAAATTGCTTGAAGATAGTTTGTTTTACGAAGGGCAATTACCTTTATTTTACGAGCGTCCATCATTCGTCGGCGGAATATTCCGAAACTTTGGATTTTGATCTTTCACCGTTATTAGGTACCTCGATAGCGTGCGAATAAAACTTGTGGTTTTATCGCCTCTGAACAAACGGGCTTGGAAAGTAATTTGGAAGTAATGCCCTCTTTAGGTCTCGCGCACTTATTTTCTGATTACGTAGAAACCGCCGTTTGCCGTCGATGCGATGGTGGGAATAACAGTCTCACTTACAATTTTCTCGGACCTCTGTCGCGGTGAAACTAGAACAGGAACCATTCCATTAACCTCTTCAGGAAGTTCGCGTATCACATTACTATTGTTGTCGTCGTTATGGCGTGAACGAAAGTTGTGTTTGATGCATCGTGTAGGGCACGTACACGAAAGCTTTATGGCAAAGCTATATAACAAGTTCCTCCATCACGATGTACTACTTTAACGGATCGCAATCCAAAAAAAGTTTCGTTACAGAATAAATAAAGAGGCACAGAGAAAGAGAGAGAGAGAGAGAGAGAGAGAGAGAGAGAGAGAGAGACTAAGAGAAGAGTTAAGAGAAAGTTAATTAAAAAATTTAATAAAAAAGTTTTAAAATAAAATATTAAAAAAGTTTTAAAATAAAATAATTGAAAAAGTTTTTAAAATAAAATTTTTTTTAATAAAATATCGCAAATATAATATTATTTCAAAATTACAGAAGCAAAATGATTAACATATGCAAATTTTGCCGATTTAATTATCTTTCATTTAATTTTACGGCGAGTAGACGTCTGATATATATTGAACATATATATCCCTAAATTTCTATTTTGAGAATAAAATTTCAAATTCGCTTCGCAGCCACCACCGACACGATCGTCGATGATCGCGAATGGATGGCGGCCTCTGACCAATTCCTACGAGGAGACAATCGGCACCAATGTGTCGCCGTCGAGCCACCTGGAGAAGAACGTCCAGGTGCATCCCGTCCTAAATAAATTCCAGGAACACATGGCAAGCTCGGAAAAGCTAAAGTCGCTGCGAAAGGGCAAGCCACCGGTTCACGAATACAGTCCGCCGAGCATACTCGGTAGCTTCACGGTGTTCGGACACGCGGCGACGAAGGCGCGCGGCGAACCCAAGACGCCGAGCAAGCACGTGGCCACGGAGACCCGTGAGTACACGTTCCTGATACCGCCGCCTAAGGACGCGTACCGCTTCGGTGAGGTGAACCAACACCGCAAGCCGGTCGTGCGGGATAGCGGTGGTTACGTGCCGAGACAGCCGCCGCAGGCAGCCTACGACGCGGCGCCGAGCATCCCTCAGCAACCGCTGGATAATGTACGTTCGGCGACCTATTTCATCAAGGGTTTCCCAAACAACCGTCCTTACGTGCCGCCCTACGCCATGCCGCAGGCGCTCCAGCCGCCCCGCTCTCATCCGCCGAAGCAGTTCGAATCCCTGAAGGTCGCCAACAACGCGAATCCGTATTTCCAGCTGCCCGGCGCGGAGATCCCGGCTGATTTCGGCAAGCAGAAGCTCGGCGGCAACGATCGCGACGCCTACGACAGGTACCAGGCGCAGTCTCACGCGCAGATGTTAAACGCGGCGAACACCGGGAACTTCTACAGCCAAGTGAATCATCCCGCGAGTCACTATAAGTCCAGTTTCGAGCGGGATCCCGCTTTCCTGGTGCACGAGAGTCACGAGGTTAGCTACGTGACGCCCCCGGGCACGTACAGCGCGTACAGTTTCCGACCCTCGTTGCCCTACGAAACTCTACTGCCGCCGGCGGTCTATTCGTCCTCGTCGTCGACACCACCGTCCACCACCGCCGTCACGCGGAATCCCAGCAAGTTTGATCAGGATAACGACGCCGCGCGGGAACACGACTACGGTAAACGTCCGAATACAAGCACCCGTAACAAGTCAAAGAAAGGCGGGCAGACCGAGGTATCTAATACCAGAACTACGAGCACTTATTACGTGGGGGAGCGTCAGGAACTTACGACGTCCACGTGGCCAAAGAGCAAATACACGTCCGACATCAATGAAGTTCTGCCGAAGGAAAATCCGCCAAGCAAGTTCAGCCAAGATGTCGCAAATCAAAATCAGATCACTCAGGGCACAAAGATCGCGCATCACGGACCGCAAAGTTCCTTCGAGTCTGTTGAGGTTTACCAGCCGACGCCGATACCAGATTACGAGACACCGGAGAGCATCTCGTTGAAGCACTTCAACGAGCAACAGTTCTTGCTGCAGCAACAGTTACTGCTGCGCGATCGACAGAGACTGGCGGAACAGGAACGTCAGCAGAAATTGGAGATCGAGCGGCAGCAGCAGGAGGAGCTGAAGAAACGGCAGGAAGAGCTTAATCAGCTTGCGCAACAGGAGAAAGATGAGGAAGAGGCGGCCAGACTTGCCGCCGAATCCGCAAAAAATCAATCGCAAGAGATCGTGAAGATCTCGAGCGAGATGCCATACACAATTCAATTGGAACAGTTCGAGCCGCAGGTCACCACGGATGTTAATGTCCTGGTATCACAGCCTGGTATTTACAACATCGAACAGCTGAGATTTCAGCCTCAGGTAATTATTTTAATTTAATTTAATTAAATTGTCATTTTAATTAAATAATGAATGAAATATCACGAATATTTGAACATTTAATATTAAATCATTAAATATTAAATAAAATTACAGTTGAAGAAATTTAACAACATTATTTCAAATAAATTGAGAATTAATATGTTCGACAATTGACTATTTATTGGCTATACATTTTATTTTCGTACGAGATATAAAAATGGAATTCTCAATCGTTTATCGTAGATATCCCAGATCCCAGAGAATCAGGTGAATCAAAACTATCAATACCAGCAGCAGCTTTACCAGAACAGATATCAGGAGCAACCGATCGATTATCACGAGCCTCAAACAGAGACGCGGCCGTACCGTCCGCAGAAACCGTCCCGCGATCCGCAACGTCGCAAAAAGCCGACGAGCGTCGCTCACGAAATCTCGCCGACGGAGCCGCCGAGCCAACCGCCGGAAACCGCCATTCCCCTGACACTGTACGCGGAGGAAGTGCCGATTCAGACAACGACGGCGCCGGAAGTGCAGACCGTGCCGGCGACACACAGGTCCAGAACTCGCCGTCCGGTCGCGCCGGGTCGACGTAGGAAGCCCGCGATGACCACGCAGGAACCCGTCACGACGTCCTACGCGGAGGAGGACTATCTCAAATATAACCGAGAGGACGTGCAGCACAATCAGCACGATTCGTCGCGGAGAAGACGGATAAAACCCACCCAAGCGAGTTACAACGAGGATGCGATGGCGGAGAGGAGGGGTAACACCAGGAAACGACCGAGTCATCGGACGAAGGTGAACCATGACGAGCAGTACGAGATCGTAACGGAGAACGTGCACAGTTCGCTAAACGCGTACGCGGCTCAGACCACGGAGCCTGCGCCGAGCTACAATGAGAACAATCAGTTCGCGACGAATCAGCCGAGCGTCTCGTACGAAACGAGCCAACCGATTAACCAGTATTACGACTATTCCTCGCGGCAGAACGAGGGATATCGCGAGGAGACCATCACGCCGGAGCAAGTGGTGCCGGAATACCTGACGGAGATCAGTCGCGGCAAGATCGAGGACTACAACGTCGACACGCGCCAGCAAAACGTGAACGTCGTCACCAGCATCCCGCTGGAGGAGCTGTACGTGAAGACCGACAATAATTATTACGATCGCGCGACAACGGACACGTCGACGGCCACGACGTCGACCGCCACGACGACGACGACGACGACAACCACCACAACGACCACAACCCCGCAGCCGATAACCTTGGCACCTCAGGTCGCCACTTCCACATCGAGGTCTCACAAAATCGGTCGCCCGTTGAGGTACGGCAACACCACCAGGCCGCGTTTCAGTATCAAGGATTACAAGAGCCGCATGGACTACAAGAGCAGGATATCCCAGGTCTCCACGACGGAGGCGGCGCCGACGCCAGCCGGCGAGACCTTGACGCGCGGTCCTCACGTCAAGCAGAGAACGAGCGCGAAGAATCAACAGACGCAGCTGACGGGCGACACCGTCCGAGAGACCACCGGCAGGTACAAATACGTCTCCCGGGTGAACTATCGGACCACCACGTCGTCCCCCGCGGTCACGAGGGAGCAGGAACGATACTCGGAGGAGAGCGCGTCCTCGACGACCGAGAAGAGCTCCCGATTCGTGCCGAAGAGGCGGCCGATCAGCGGCAACGTCTATCGAAGTAGAATCGCCTCCACCACGAGCAGTCCCACGCGATCTCAGATCAACGGCGAGACGAACGTGAGGCAAACGGCGCGACCCGAGAACGTGTACTCGTCGTCGATACGCAGACGGCCGGCCATGAGGACCAGACTGCAGAAAGAGAGCACCGTGGCCACGGCATATCCGGACAGCAAGCGACAGGAGGAACCTACGGAGATGACTGCCGAAGAAACCAGTTTCTACTCGACCGCCGCCTCGTCGACCACTCGCTTCGTGGGCAACGAGATCGTCGGCGAGAAAGGAGAGATCGCGTCGCTCGAGGATCATCCGGTGAAACTCGGCATGCAGGAGAGCAAAAATGAAGGCCGTCAAGAGGAGGCTGTTTTAGAAAAGGAGGAGACGAGAACCGACGCGGCGCCGGCTGCGGACGATCGCGGGCGGATTTCGAGCGACGAGCCCGAGCAGACGAGTCGAGTCGAGAAGCCAGAAGTCCCTCCGGCGGCCTCCGGAAGCGATGTCGACGCGGCGTCAGAGAGACAGCCGGAAATTACGGAGGCCACGACGAAGTTCGATGTGCCCTCCGACGAGGAGGAGCTGTTCGCCAAAGCGTCGCAGAGCGTGGCGGACCTGACGAGCTCCGCCTCCGCCCTGTACGACAAGCCGGGCATGTTCAAGGCGGTCTCGCCGGAGAGCAGGCTCGTTTCGTCGCACTTCAAGATCACCACGGACGAGCCGACGTTACCCATCGAGGCCTTCTTCCAGGAGTTCTCGAAGAAGAACTAACGACCAGGTTTTGCTCCGCCGCGAAACGGACTGACTGTCGAGTCGCGGCACGCGCGATCGGCAATCCCGTGACTTCGTCGAGAAGCGACGGAAGACCGTGAAAAATAATCCGCGAGCTTCCCTCGAAATAGAGAGTTCTGAGATTTTTTTTTTTTCGATTTCGCAAAGAATTTTTATTTCAAAAGAGAATCTAAAATTACACGCGTCGTTAAAATCGGAAAAGGATTTATGGATTTCTCGAAGCATTCTATTATCTGGTCTTTACGCTAAATGTAGAAAGTTTTGAGAGACTAGAGGAAGTTACGTACCTTACGTGCACCATAGTCTTACGTACTTAATTTCGCTTCTAAATTATTGTTGTCGCACCGTCATTCTCATCGTGGAAAATTAAAACGCTCGAGGCGCATCGCGAGCGTTCTAATACACGACCACCATCGCAAACGCACTTCCCTATAGATATTAGAAAGACAAAGGGATTTCTAATGACTTAGACGCATCGTAGCAGAAACATTAGGTTTGAGAAGAAGCGCCGCTGTTCGATGAAATTTCCGATGGAGCAGCCGCGCTTTTTCTCGCGCTAGCTAAGAAAACTCGGCAGGACATTTCGTGTGCAATATCTGTGAAAAAGCAAATTATCCGACCTACTTGTGTCCTGTGGTAATATCCTTTGTATAAGTTCTTTTTATATGTACCTTTATGTTAGATTACTCATAAAAGGGGAAATACCAAAAGCAAATTTCGCGAATTAGGCAATGTAATGATATATCATTGGGAACGCCTTATTAGTGTAAGCATGCGAATCATCCCATTGTATATTTATTTAAGAGATCATTCTTCAAATCATTTCTCGTCATTACTTTCCGTAATATTTCGAAATAAACTAACGAATGCTACGAGATATTGTAAATATGAATACGTAGCATAGAATTTTCAACATCATCCTCTGTGCAGAAAAATCTCTTTCAAATTTTATAAGAAGAAGAAAGATATATATTTTAAAGTTCACTAGAAAATTTCGTAAAAAAGTTGTAAATATGGCACGAATTTTCGTTTAAAATTTTGCAGAAGTCTTATTTTTTTTGTTAAATTAGAAATAACCACTTTGAAAAAACTATTATACCTTAAATTATTATGAGCAAAGCAAAAACAATTTTTATCACCTGCCTGTTTCATACCTGCCTAACATTTCCTATATTTTATATGCCGATAACTTAATATTTTTATATTTGATTAAAATATTTAAGAATTACGCACTATAATTATTATACTTTCCGAATAATATATAAGGATATCAATTAATAAGAATATAATTCATATGCAGAAAGTTTTATCTTCAAAAATATCTAGATATATATATATATATATATATATCATAATATAATACGTGCGCATTTAACGAATAAAATACAATACGTTCATTGTTCTCACGTACTATTTATATGTATTCATGTATAATCGTTTTATATTGTAAATAAATACATCGGATTAGATAAAAACGTGTACGACAAATTTTAATAAAATAAGATACTCGAAAACTTACCTCATCCGATGATCGGAAACAAGGGGTACACTTGAAGCTGT